GGATCCCTCCGCTCTAGGTTTTCACTGTCTGGGATTCCGTTGTTGGTCTGTGACTGTTGCTTTTGTTGTATCTTGTTGGGGGAAGAGTTCACGGGAAAGCTTACTCCACCATGATGCTGACGTCACTCCGTGAGACCTTAATTTTATGTGAGAAATTCCTTTTCCTTTGCCGTAGAAGGAAACGAAGTCTAGTCAGAGGTGTGATGTCCCATCCCATTCACAGGTTCCGCCCACGCTCAGAGAGGGGATTCCACAGGGTGTGTGTGCATCATGGGGTGAGGATCTTGAGGACCGTCTGAGTTTTGCCTACTACACATGCTTTGGATAAAAGTGAGATGCTAAAAAAATTACTTGTGCAGGTTAGGTAAGAGAGAACTGTAAAGGATTGGGAGAAAAGCCTTGAAAGTCTAGAAGAATTCTATACTGAGATTGCTCACAAATTGCCCTTCAATTCTTGCTCCATTTAAAGAAACTGAGATGGAAATAGTGGATGCTTAATGAGGCTAGTGCATGCCGGAATGATGATGAGGAAAGAGTTAGTGGACTCATGAACAAAGAAAAGGCCCCGGCTTTCCATTAAAAGATGGGCAAACAGATATTTCTACTTTAATGTAAAGTGTCTTGTGTGTCTGATAAGAGGGCTTCTGTTGCACCTGCAGTTTTCAGAATGGATGCCTTGGGTGTCCACCACACCCCCTCCCCTCGCTGGCTGCTTGCTCTGGGAAGCCTTTTCTGACTCCCAAATGCTGACAATCAAGAGCATTTTTGTTTTTTCTTTGAATATCACTATGGACTCCTGTGTTTTTATTTACTTTTATTTACAGTCCAGTGCTGTTTTTATGTATTTTGAGGCTCAAAATTGTTCTAAATTTGGCCAGTAGAGTCCCCATTAGGTTGTGAACAACCACTTTTTTGGTGCAAACATAAGATATTCTAGGCTCATCTTGTCTGCCTCGGTGCTCAAGTTGGCCTTTTTTTCCAACCGCCTAGGTTTCATTTAGTCGGAAGTGGTATGTAGAAACCAATATCTCGGTGCTGGGTGTACTCGTTGCTGTCCCAGTGCCATTGATTCTAGGTCCTTTCCAAAGATAGAACAAGCAGATATATTCAAATATAAATTTATGTTGAGATTTCTAATTCAAATTGTTCTTAAAAATTTCCTTGATTTCATCTCTTTTACACTTAAAACCTTAGTTTCTAGTAACACTAACATACTTTATCATAAACATATGTTTTATTATATTAACATTGCTTTATTATACTATATAACATGAAATACTTTTAAAATTTTAATGTCAATATTATGATTATCAATAAGACCAATGAGAAAAGTTCAAGATTGTTTTCCCTTAGAGTATATCTGACTTAAGGGGTATAGTTCAAAAGGCTCTTGAAATACTTTTCTTTTTGATAAGCATAGGTTGATTTGCTTATTAACCAGTTGTAGGTTGTGCTTTTTTATGATTTAATTTTTGAAGATGAAAATATAGTTATATGTTTTAGAAGTTAAAATATATAAGGTTTACTCAAAATCTTGTTTTCATTCCTCTTTCCTGCGTTCCATTCATGTTGCCCTTCCCATCTACCCCTACATGATCATTGTCATTTGTTTCTGTTTTCTCTGTCTAGAGCACATGCGCTCCTGTGGCTTTTTTCTTGTATCTTATGTGAAAGTGAGCATAGTATATACACTATTATGCACTGTGCCTTTTTCACTTAACTGTATTTTTTGGGATATTTTCATTAAATGTTGAATGACTGAATAAATAAGAGGAAATGAGATTTTTTTTGTATCATTCTTTAAGAATTGCGTTGTGAGTATGATCACTCTGTAAGGTTATTTTATTTATCATTGCCAGCTTGCATTCACAAGAGATGGGCTTTGTGGTCTGTGGAATGAAATGGTTAAAGATGGAGAAATTGTGTATACTGGGACAGAATTAACCCAGAATGGAGAGCTTCCTCCTAGAAAAGGTAAGGGCCTTTAACTAGTATTTTTCACTTTGTAAAGACCTTTATAAATTGCATTTTGTAGAAATTTTGGAATGTGCTATAGGAATAGGAGTATCTGAGCATAACTCTTTGAAGTTTTGTTTTCACCTTGGTGATTCTTGTCTAAATGATAGTTAATATTATGAGCTGCCTAGATTTCATTGTTCTGTGTGAATTGAAGGCCTTTTCATTGGAAAACCACCTCACTCTGGTGTCCTTCCTCTGATGTCTCATTTGCAGCTTACAGGAGCTCCAGTTAATATTTCTTCTTTTAAGTTTTGAAATAAGTCTTGCCTTAGCTAACTATAATAAGTGATTATTATAAGATTGAGTGGATATAATTATTCCTGAAATTTGTCCTGTATGATTCTCCTGTGGGAGTGCATAGAACACTTTTTGGTAGCCTTTGGCCAATGGACTGGACTTGATCCCTTATTTTACTGTATCTTGTTGTCTATGCGAGGAAATAGCAGTGAACACTCTTATTTAGGCCAGTAGTTATAAAAACTCAAGACTCTGTCATTCAATTGTTCTTGACTTTGGCTGTGAATCAGAATCACCGTTCAGGCTTTAAAAAGAAATGGATGCCTGCGCCCACCTCAAACCTGTAGAATCTGAAAAGCCCCACTGCTGAAGTTTGTTAGTCCCACTGTTTGCAAGTCATCAAGATGGATAACAATGTTACTTTGGAAAGTAGTTCTTTTTCTCTTTGTAGAATGAATTGGAGGCTAATGTGCACTTGAAAATACATTGGAAAAACATTGTATCTGATTCAGATATACATAGCATGTATCTTTTCAGTTACAACTGAAACAACAGTTTAGTGGAGTTATCTCTTTTTTTCTGGTATTTTATTGTGAAAATTTCCACACGCACAGAACAACTGAAGATCTACGCAGCAAGCCGCACACCCACCCCCCAGATCCTACCACCAACGTTTCTCTCTACTTGTTTATCTCAGGGCTCCCTGGCTCTCCATCCTTCTGTCCATCAGTGTTTCTTTCCTGGCTCCCTTAGACACTTCTTGCATATCATTAACTCAACAGAATTCAGTTTTGTCTTTTGTCTTTAAGGTAAAATTTATACATAACGAAGTGCACATTTTTTTTGCTAAGGTTAAGTTTGGCACACTCCACTTCGGTGGCCCGGGTTCAGTTCCTGGGTGCGGACCTACACCACTCGTCTATCAGTGAAATGCATATACTTTAAGTTTACTATTCCACAAGTTTTGACAAATGTATTCTTTGTAACATAAACCTCTTTCAATGTTACTCTCACTCAGAAGGTTCCCTGGTACCCCTTCCTGGCCCATCACTGCCGCTAATGCCCAGAGGCAACCACTGGTCCACTCTCTCTACTGTTGATTAGTTTTGCGTGTTTTAGAACTTCATGTAAATGTAATCATGTAGTCATGTGTGCTCTTTTGTGTTGGGCTATTTTCGCTCTGTAATGTTTTAGCAGTTTCAGTAGTTCATTCTATATATTTTTAAGTTTTATACCTCATTTTCCCAGCCCTCCAGTATTTGTTAATGAATTAAAACAGTGTTTCCCAAAATGTTTTTTTGTGAAACGCTAGTTCTAAAAGATGCTCTTAGAAAAACTAATTACATGGAAAAATACAAAGTATATTTCCTATTCATTACATTTGATGAATATTTTTTGTTAATTTAAAAATCATGTGGTTAGAAAGCAAAGCATAATTGTTCTTTATGTAGGTCCCAACTGAATAGTTTTGGGGGGTCCTTTTTTGGCATTCAGTATAAGTTGCTATTTTTAGTGTGGCATGATGTGTACTTTCTATTATTAGTATTATTAGAAAATACTTTTTCACAGGTAAGTTTTACATACCAAATTCCATTTTTAAGACTATATACTTATATGTTGGTTGTATTATAGCCAATTGTGAGGAAAATACAGATTAGAGTAGAAGTTCCTTCAGTGCACAGTTGTCCTTGCTGTGAGTAGGGGTCGATTACTTTCTTCCACACACGACCACCCGAGAGTGGGTTCTTACTGTTGTCAAGCTTGATCCCTTCATGGTTTATTTCTGGGAAATACTGGCTTCTAATAATTGCACTTCCCCTGGGATAAACTTTCCTTACTTTCTTTTGCAATCACGTTTAGAATTTTCTGGTCCTACTGATGAGGAAAGAAAGTTATGTCCCAGGTAATAAGTTTCTGTGTTTACTTTTTCTGGGGCCTGCCCCACAGAAGACAGGCCTGGGATAAGGCTGGATTATAATCTTATACTTCTTCAGGTGAACATGTATTATTAACACCTTGTTTGGGGTTGTTTGTATTTATTATTTTGAGGGAAAGTGGAGGAGGGAATAAGATGTAAAGAAAGGAAAATTAGGAGGCTGCTAAAGATACACTAAGCTTATTTTTTATTTTTGTCTAGGGCTGGCCTTGTGTAAAGAATTTATCATGAGCTGTTTCGTTTATCATAAACCTTTTCAACCTATGCAGATAGTAGAAATAATATTAGCCAGTACTTTGCTTAGATGCTGTATCTTTTCTTGAAAGTATTTTCTCATTACTTCCTTTAATCCTCAACTCTACCTAGAAATGGAGGCTACAGTTTGCACAAATAACAGGGGCAGAGCTAGAAATTGAAGCCAGACATCTTGAAAAAGTTTCATTGCTATTTCCATTACACTACAAATGTAGTTTACTGACATCAGGACCAACTTTTTGTAGTTTCATGGAGCTTATTTTTTGGCTTTTTCTGACTTCATATGGTACATAAGTGGGTAATTGTTTTGAGTTTTTTTGGGGGGGGGTCAGGATTCTTTAGTTATTATGTGTTCTAATTTTAGGAGTGCAGAGGTGAGTTTTTGATTTTTTCTTTTGGAATGTGAATTTTTCCATTATGTCTTGTGCCAATTGACAACTTTCCTTCTGGTTTTATAGTTTTTCTTTGGAGCGTGTAAAAAAGCATTAAATGTGGCCTTTCCCTTCAAGTAACTAGTGATTATTTAGACAAAAAATGCGTCCACATACCAAGGTATATAACAGGATGGCAAAGACCTTGTGATGTCAGCCACACACAGAACTGGAGGAGTCCTGGGGTGGAGCATTTCCTGTGGTTTGCGCAGTCGTTAGGGAAACCTGGCCTGGGCTCGAGGGACAGTGGCCTGTGGGGTCACAAGGGAGAAGCGGGCACAGAGGGTTGGGAAAAGCAGAACTGGCAGTGGGTGTGCAGGGGTGACAGGGAGCAGTGAGCAGGGAGTAGCAGAAGTGTATTGGGCCAAACTGGAGGTAACCATACTCCTTTGAGTGCCCTGCTGCATCTAAATCCTGGAGGGTGCGCCTGCTGATGCAGTGGACCCAGGTAACATGTTTATACACTAAAGGTTAAAAGGCACGGCACAGAGGGCCATGAATGTTAGGAATAGTAGTCAGGTCTCTCTCCTCCTAACAGTGGGAGCTCAGAGAATTCTATCCTGATTCCTTAGCCCAAGAGTTCTCAAACTCTGTTGCTCATCAGGATCACCTGGGCTGCTCTTTGGTCAGACACCCTTGGCTGGCCCCACTCCTAGAGTTTCTGATTCTTTAGAATTGGAGTGGGGCCTGAGAATTAGGATTCCTACCATGTTTCCAATCCCACTGACGATGCTTGCTTTTCGAAGTGTGTGTCATGTCTGCACAGGCACAGTATTACGTTGGGAGCTAGAGACCCAGAGGAAAGGAAAAGTGCTCTTGAGCAAATAGAACATTAAAAAAACCAACAATATTCCAAAGCAAATGACCACAATTAAATTTCCCTCATAAATTTATTCTGTCCTCCATAATTAATTCTTTTTGCTTTGGATTTTGAGTTCTTTGTGGAAAGCTTAACCCACCCCTGAGAGTCTGCCCGGTATCTACTGGAAGCAGTGCTGTCAGCTTCTGCTAGAGTTTGTTCCCTATGGGATTGGTAACTCCATTGAGGCTCTGCGATTATTCTTGTTTGTTGAAGACCCAATTTCTAGCCTTTAGTTTTGGAAGGAAGCAGACGATAAGACTCAAGGCTCTGGTTAATTGATTGGTAACAGTATCAGAAAGGACAGGAATAAAATTCTTCACAGGGTGGGCTTCATGGCTGTTGGGTGAGGGTTTGGTCATTGTCCACCCTGGGGGTTAGAACATAGCAAGAGCAGCGAGACATGGATGCATCTCTAGGGCTCCCACTGTCCTGGGAAGTGCAGTGTGTTGTTCTACTTGTATGAAGTTAATCTACAGAGCATGAATTTTCTCTTTTTGATTTGCTGGCTCTTCTCATATTGTGGGCCTGAAGTACAGGGAAGCTCTAATGATAGCAGTGAGTTAATGAAGAAATAAGGAGCATCCCAACTGTACCTAGTTTTATTTCCAGCTTTTTCCTGCTTGGAAGTGTTGCATCATGAATTCCACAATGTGGGAGCTAGTAATTGTCATTCTGGTCCTGCAGGAAGTGCCAAAGACCATTTGGATGTAAAAACACTTTGACAGGGTCTGATCCTGGGAAGATGGCATCACACATCTTCCAGAGGAGGCTGACCTGGGCTTGAGAGAGGGATGGCTGTGCTGTGACTTCTCCAGGCTGGCTGTGGTCACAGAGAGGAAGCCCAGTCTGGTAGTTCAGGGCTCACACTTTTGTTTACTGATTAACTTTGTCAATTCTGACACATTTTTACAGGTTTTATAAACCAAGGCAGGTAAAGTTCATTTTCCCTCAAATCCTCTACAATTTGCTGTATCCGCTTACTTGTCTCTTATATCTTCTTTCAGGTTTTGGCATAGCTAGATGTTTTTCGTTAAGACAAAAAGTACTATCTTCCTTGATAGAAACATTCATCATCTTGCATTCATATTTATATTTTTCTGCCACCATTCTTTCTGGTTTAATCTCAACCATCATCCATGTTAATTACAACTTTTACCCAAATTAAATAACTTCTAGTTCAATAGTATATGTTTTTTTCTGACATAAAATATATGTCATTTTTATGCACCAATCT